TTATACATATATTCTTTTTTATTATAAGTATTTAAGCAATAGATAAACTTTTACATATTATTTTTAATTATAAATACTTAAGCAATAGAGGCATAGAGACCCCATAGGTCGGGCGCACAAGTGGTTATTATTCCCATAAAAGGCTAGAAAAAAAATCTATAAAAAAAATGTGGCTCAAATTGTAAACAAAACGTCATAGAAAATAGAATTGAATAGAGACACTTGCACTTGCACTCCCACCACAAACTATACTTGTTGTTGTTGTTGTTATGCATTAGAATTCGAAGCTGGATAAACAAATTATAGTCAAGCCCCCTCTTTGCACTTATTATTGTTATTGTTGTTGCTATGGCAATTTGTTTATGCGGCTATTAGTTTGTTATTATTGCATTTTTGCCATGCTCACTTGCTTTGGCGTAAACAGAAAACCCACAACTACAACAACAATAACAATAATATGCAATAGCCAGAGATAATAATAAAATCAAGCAGACAAATCAATTTTTTTTCAGACTGCAAGTTGGCTAAAAATATATATATATAGATATACAAGAGAAACCGGCCAGTTGCCAACGTCTGTTTATAAGGCGGAAGAATCTCTAAAGAGTATATAATATGTGTATCTTTGTGCTTGTCCTCAATTCAAATTAGTTTTGAACCATTGCGGCGGCAGCTACTACTACTAATCGACAGCATTTATTATTATTTAACCTTTTCTCTAATTTGCTTCTCAACAGATCGATGGCCAACTGGTTGCCGACACCGCCACGGACGCCGCGCATCAATTTCCGTCCAACGAGGAGCCCAATATTCTGGGGCATGGACCCAACTATGACGAGAAGTTGTCCAAATTCAAATGGCTCTGCAATTTCGATGATGTGAGTTAACCACCGGAGCCAAGTGTCAGTCATTGGGGGTCAGCGTCAGCAATTTGGCATCAATTGTCGCACACTGAATTTTAATTGATCGCAAATTGTATTTGGCGAATTGACAAAAAAAAAAAGTAAGGCAGCACCAAGCAGCAATCAGGGCCAAATGCGAGTTCAAAAAGCTTACAGAAACAATAAATATTTAATTGTTGTATTTAAATTACACCTTTTTGTGGTGCTTAATAATATCTTAAGTCAATTTATTACATTTATTGTACATTGATCTTTGAAAAAGGATTTTGTTAGAGCTAAAATTGGTTAATAGTTTAATATTTCAAGGAAATTAAATTTTTTAATAAGGTTTTTTAATCAAAAATTAAGATATTTTGTCATCAATGATTTCTTTAATATTTTTTTTTCCTTAAAAACATAGTTTATTCATTTTTAATGGAAATAAGGTATATTTATAATAAAAAATATGAGATCAAATTTTAAAATTGTTGATTTGTGGGTGCCTATTTATCAGGAAATGTGTTTTATTAGTTTATTTTTCTGTCTTTATTTTTAGAAATATTTAATTCAAATATTTACATTTGTATTACATAATATTCGTTTCAATTTTGTTTCTAAAATACATAATAATTATTCATTTATTATTGCAAAAGAGAAATTGAATCAAAACGTGCCTTTATCGTAAGGTTAACTCTGATTTGTATTGTTACCGCTTATGTGCTCAACTAATTCACGATCACTGCTTGTAAATATAAATGGTTAAAACGCCGAAATATGTGAAATCCGCCATGGCGGTCGAGTTGGCAGCAATTGCAAAATAATACAATTAGACAAACCCAAACAAATGCCAACTGAATCAAGGTCGGCCAGCCAGCTAGCCCAGCAAACAAACAAAACAGAAAAAAAGCTTAACGGGGCACCATTAAATATTTGAATAGTAAAAAAACAAAATAAAAAGAAGCTACTGTTACAAGTTTGTAGAAAAGCCCCAAGGTAATGCTCCCGAATTTTGTTTTTGTTTGAAATCGAAGCGGATCGTATTGAGTTAAATTACTGGGAAATTTCATAGTATAGTGCAGAGACAGATATTCAGTTCCATGCTCCGGAAAAAGCTCTCAACACAACAGATTTTGATTTTTTTTGCCAAGTAATTTAAAACCAGATTTAAACTGGGCTTATAATAATAACTGCTTCCGAATAAAGATTGTTTTAAAAACGCCAAGATAAATATGATTGAAGTATAAAAAATTTGGTTTTTTAAAGTCAAGTTTTACTTGGAGTTCAGTTTTTATACTCGGTATACCTATAGGATCCAGTTATCATAACCCTTATAATAAAATGATGAGTATTAGAGAGATTAATACAATTTTTTGGTACTGCACTTTTTCGTGCTGGCTCTAGAGCTGTCTTAAGTCTTCTTGGAAATGTTGATTACAAGCTAGAGAAAGCCCTTTACTTGTTATTCAAATATGATTGCTCTGATTCTAGATCTGTACGCACGCAAACGCACTTGCTTTTTCTGGTTAGCTAGTCAAATGAATGGGCATTATGCATCTTGTTTTTATACGTTCTTTAGTAAAAACTCAGTTAGTAAAGATATTCTAGATTATGAAGTTACTTAAAAAGAAAATATAATAATAATAATATAATAATATAATTTTAATAAATATTAAATTAAAATTTACCTTTTTGTTTTCAATTCAAAATTAATAAAAACCACGATCCCTAACCAAATCAATTGAATTAATTAGTTTTCATGTATTTTTAATCGAAGCAAATGAAAAGCTTTTTCTGCTTTTTATTAAGATAAATGCCAGAGGCTGCAAAACAGTTTCCTTCTGTTGTTTTTGGGCTTTTCTATTTGATTCCGTTGTCGGTGCTCCTTTAGTTTTATTCTCAATGCTGCCCATTCAATTTGCATGTCTTATTGGCTTTGGGAAACACACAAAATGTATTTATTTGGAATGTTTATTCAATTGTCTTTTGTTTTTTTTTTGTTTCTATGTAGGCCCCCAGCCATTTGAAGTTCAATCCGTACATCCGCCGCGGTTACCGCACATTCCTATCCAACAAGTTGTGCCTGCAGAGCATGTTCTGGTGGACCAATGAGACGGTGAGTAAATATGGGTAATTTCCAAGAATTATTACTAATAAACTCTTTTTGGACAGATCAATATCTGGAGCCATCTGGCCGGCTGCATTCTGTTCATCGGCCTGACGATCTTCGACCTGCAATTCCTCCGCATCCACGCCTCGTTGAGCGACCAAGTGCTGGTCGTCTGCCTGCTGGTCTGCTTCTGTCTCTGCATGCTAATGTCGGCCATATACCACATCTTCTCCTGCAAGTCGGAGGAGCACTATGAACTCTTTCTATCCGTCGACTTCCTGGGCATCTCGCTCTCGCTGGTGGCCATCTACATTAGTGGGATGTACTATGCCTTTTGGTGTCACACCTTCCTGCGCACCCTTTACTCCACGATTGCCCTGGGCATGTTTGCCCTGGCCATCGCCGTCCAGATACCCCGGCTGAATGTATCGATGAATGGCAAGGTGGCGGTGCTGCTGCTGTGGTCCGCCTATGGCATCATCCCGCTCGGCCACTGGGCGGTGGCAATGGGTGGTCTGGAGAACGAGCTAGTCAGGGTGAGTTTAACTTAAAGATTTTTAAATAGGTAATATTATATCAATTGAATTATGCTCTTCAGCTCATGGTGCCCCGCATCGTGGTCATGTACTTGCTCTGCCTCATCGCGTTCGTCTTCTACTCGGCCAAGATCCCCGAGCGCTGGTTTACCGGCAAGGTGGACTTTGTGGGACACTCGCACAACTGGTGGCACCTCATCATCGTGGCCGCCTTCTACCACTGGCACAACACCGGCCTGGTCTACGCCGAGTACCGCCTGAACAATGGATGCAGTGCTCCGGTTCTCTCCTGAGAAATGTCATACCGAATCGAAGCGGAAACGGAAATGAATGCGGATAGGGATGAGGATAAGGATGCGGATGCGGAACCGGGACTCTAGTAGACTCTAGCCTAGTGTAAATAGCTTTTGGGTATTCTTTATCCGCTATTAACTAATATTTAGTTGTAGTTGTTGACCGATATGATTAATTTATGTGTAATTTACCACCTAGTTAGGGTTCCGTGTTAGTCTATCCAAAGAGTTGGCTTCACCCTTACACGGATCGAGCGGAAGTATGTATGATATGGAATGGATTACATTTTGCTAGCGTTATCTTCAAAATTCATTTCATTTTAATATAAAGAAATCTCTATATGGAATTGCGTGTGTCTTGAGCTGAAGCTGTGTTAGTCTTGTTGACTCGATTTTTACAAAATACTTTAAATTGCAAATACAAAAGATATCAGAAGTACAAAACAAGATGGATGGTGTTTTTAATGAAAGTGTGGAAACTTTTGAAAAGGTTTTAAAGTTAAAATCGGTTTGAATTTAAAGCTGAACTTTAACTAACGCTGGAATTTCGATATGTGGTATTTGAAATGTAACGACTTCCTTAAACTAAATCGCCACCTGTGGGAATATCTTTAAACTTTAAGCAGGTTTTTAGCTATATCTGGCACTTTTGGTCGCTCAGAGTAAAATGTCAAAACAAAGTTTTACTCTGAAATTCAGAGTGACCAAATATCGCAATTTCGGTATTTTGATATACTTACATTTTTACATTCTACACGAGAATTCGACCCCAAGCATGTAAAACCCTGTTTTGACATTTTACTTTGAAATTCAGAGTGACCAGGGAGAAAATACCAAATAGCGCGATTTCGGTATTTTGATATACTTACATTTTTACACTCTACATGAGAATTCGACCCCAAAAACGAGAATTCGACCCCAAGCCTGTAAAACCATGTTTTGACATTTTACTCTGAAATTCAGAGTGACCAAGGAGAAAATACCAAATATCGCAATTTCGGTATTTTGATATACTTACTTTTTTACACTCTACATGAGAATTCGACCCCAAAAACGAGAATTCGACCCCAAGCATGTAAATTGACATTTTGCTTTGATTCAGAGTGACCAGGGAGAAAAAATCAACAAATATCAAATGTTTTCATCGCGATCTCGGTATTTGGGCAACAAATGTCACCAAGTTATTTTATCAACAATAGTTTTTTGTTTTTGTTGCTCGAGTTCGGACCAGGGCGCGCACATTTTTTTCCGAGCCAAAAACGCGACACGACTAAGTTGAGGAGGAAAACACGGTCCATCGGCGCTAAATTCCAAGTTAATTAGTTTCAATTAGGCAAAGGAAAAGGATTACAACAGCAACAAACCACAACAACAACAACAACAACAAGTTTCCAGTGATCGAAATGGAAAAAAGCAAGCAGCAACTGTGAGCAGTGATCGCGTGTGTGTATGAGTGTATGTGTGTGCGATTGTGCTGGAATGGAATGCAGTTACGAAAAAAATAAATAATTGAGAGCGCCGCTCGCTCGCTCTCTCTCTGTCTCTTACACGCGCGCGGTTCGCTCGTTTGTGTGTGTGTGTCTCCATTATCGGCGGAGTGAAAGAAATGGAATGAAATAAAAAGAAATGTCTTTGCTAATGTAAACAGCGCAAAGAGAAACCCCCCGAAAAAACGGCAGAGGCAGAAAAAAAGAAAAGGCGAGCGTTGTCGGGTGAAAAAGAAATAAAATCGAGGTTTTCTCAGACTCCACTCAAAGCAAACCGGGAGAAAATACTACGAAAATGCCGAATCTACAACAGACAGCGTCGCAATCGCAGCATCACCTGCATCCCCATCACCTGAGGCCCCAGCAGCACCATCCACAGCACCACCAGCAACACCAACACCATCATCAGCAGCACCACAGCGACTTTCCGCTGCCCGATGGCTGGGATATAGCCAAGGATTTCGACGGCAAGACCTACTATATAGATCACATCAACAAAAAGACCACCTGGCTGGATCCCAGAGATTGGTAAGTGTATTACGGAAAAATCGTAAAATAATAGGAAGAATATAAAAGACTCTTGGGAAAAATTTTGGTTTAATAACAAAGACCTATTAAATTAAATAATCAATACAAGTTATAAATTATACCAAAAGATGCATAGTGTTAATATTGTTTAATTTCGAAAAAAGCCTTTTTGAAGAATATTTGCTAATATTTATTTATTGGCATGATAGTCATAGGCAAATATACATTTTGAATTTACTCTTTAATTGGATCTATAAAAGAACTTGCCTCACTAAAATGGGATATTATAATCTACAGAAGCTTCCTAGATATATTTCAATCCCCTCGAGTGCTTTAACCCCCTTTGTTTTCCCTTATAAGTAAATATCTGGCTTATGAAACGAAAAGGGTACCAAGACTCAGGTGAGAGAGCTGCCGCTTAATCAGGAAGCTTCGGCAAACAAAAACAAAAACAAGAGCGGCGGACTGAAAAAAACCCATATAAATTCCGATTCCGAACCGGAAAGAAAAAGGTGCGTGCTGCAGCTGTGTGTGTAGCGAGTCAGCGAGTGCGTGTGTGTGTGTGAGCAAAGGAATGCGATCGAGAGGCAAGAAGCAGCGGCGAAATAAATTACATATTTTAAACAAGGCGAACGGGCAAAACAAAACGGAACGAGGCGAAAAGACTTCAAGTAAACATTCCAATGCGATGATTAAGACTCCAAATATAACTGAACTGAGCCGAGCCGAGGAGAGTGGCAACAAACAAAAAATGAATTGTAAACTACAGGCGAAAAAAGGCAGGAAACGCGAGAGGTGGAGAAACGGAGAGCGAGGGAGAGTAAAAGTTAAATAAAGCTCGGCGAATGATCTGCAAAAACAAAAACCAACAAACTCATACGTAATGAGTGCAAGAGAGCGGCGGCGGCGGCAGTGGCGACGGAGTGAGAGCGCCCGAGATACCACATCAGGCCATGTATCTCATAGATACATTTTAGTTTGCCGCTCGCTCACATTTTTTGGTCTTGTCTCTAGCTCGCTCTGCCTCTCTCTCTCTCTTACCCATAAACAATTGCAAAATGTTCGTAGGAATTTTTTGTAGTTTCGAAATAATTGATTTCTGAAATTCTTCGCCCTCTCTCAATTTAGTCTGTTTTTTCTATACTCTTTTTTGGTTTCCACAACTTGTAAGAAATTCCTATTAGCATCCTATAATTATTTGAATTAAATTATTTTTATAGACATAATTAGGGATCAAAAACCTTCTTTAGATACCTTAAAGGGTTTCTAAAAACCATTAGGTTCCTTTTTTATTATTTTCGATAGATATTTCAAGTTTTTTTTTATCATAAATAGGATTGTATAAATATATTTTTCGAATTTTTAAAGATAACCAAATAGCAATTTTTGCAAGGGCATAGAAACTTTGAAAGGAAACTTTTTTGCATTTTCCTTATACTGTTTTCTTGTAATTGTGTGTGTATTTCTTTGTTGTTTTTATTGTTTTATTTTGTGTGAGGCTGTGTGAGCTTCACGCTTTCAATTAACACAAACATTCCCTTTGTTTGTTTCAAATTGCATGGACATTGTTCAAAATGTTTCACTGAATTAAACGCCGAACCGTTTCGAGCGTTGTGGAATTTCAGTATTTCTCCCCGGGTCTTTCCTCTCCCTTTTGCTCTTGCTTGAGAAAATGAAACGAAACATCTGCGCATTTGTTAGGGTTATGCATCAAGTGGATTGTATATGCACACATGTCGCAGGAATGTTCCTCAGAATGCACAGCAAAGCGTTTGTATCTGCGTTCTCGTTTCAGGGTTACCCAGGGGATAAGAGCCTTGATGTGAGCCTTTAAAATCTATGAGATCTTTGAGTGAGAGTCATTGATAGATAGAAAAATGTGCATATTTATATATTAAATCTGATGGATTGTTGGGAGAGAAATATTTAAATCTCTCAATTGAACCAAACATGCAGAAAACGAAATATTTTTTGTATAATTAAATAAACATAACTAAACATTGTATCAAATATACCTTTAATATGTTTTTGTTAGTGTAAAAATAAATTTATTTAACACTATTCTTTTACTTAAAATTTTATTGTTACTTTGCAATTCACATTTCTCAATTTGAACTCAACATTTTCAATTATTGAGCAAACCAAAATATTTCAAGTTGGCTCACTCCCTCCACCCTTTATTGGTATTTTGCAAGTCTCGCATATCTTTAACCAAAATTATTTACGCTTTTCGGCATACGTTGCGTATCCGCTCTCAATGTCCATTGATCGCCAACGCCAATGTCTCTCACACGCGGCGTTGCTATTGAATTTTAAAAATTGCTGCCGGTAGCGCGCAAAAATTCCAATAAACCATAAATAAATTTCTACAATAAAGCAAAGCGAGCCAGGCCTCGGGCGGCCTTTAAAGGCCTCGCCACGTTACGAGCACTACAGCCAACAGAAAATCATAGAAAAAATAAATATCTATTCCAATATACGCAGTATGCAAGGTCGAATTGCCGATACCCTTGAAATTCGACCGACAATTGTTTGGGCTTGGGCTATATAGCCCACATTTTCTAAGGTTTTTTGGGCTAAAATTAGGCATAGAATGTTAGCAGAACTTGAAGAAATTAATGAATGAATAATTTGTTGATATATTGTTTGTTGATATATTGTTTAATAAAAGTAAGATATTTTCTGCTTAATACTTGAATGATAACTTTCGCTGAATTTTCATTATGTTACTCCATGTATCACTTGTTAAACCCCATGACTTTCATGTCTCCGAGTTATTTATTTCCCCCTTTAAGGATTCCGATGCGATGACAAATGCCATGGAATTTCCATTGTACAGCGTATTCAACTTAATAAATGTTTCACTTGTTTGTACAGCATTTCGACGACGGGTGGTATTTTTTGTGATTTTTTTTTCGTTGCCGTTGCCCTCTCTTTTCCCTGTTTCTTTTTTTTTTTTGTATAAACAAAAGTTAACAACGACTTGACTTGGCCATGCGATTTGGCATTTTTTCGCCGCTGTCTTCTTCTTGATTTTCTTATTTTTTTCGCCATTTTTTTTGGCCAATTGTTTAGCCACAAACAAGGCGGCAACACAGTGGAATATTTTTGTGTGCGTTTTCGGTGTTTTAACTCTTTTTAGTGGTTTAGACAGAAACGTGTTTGGTGACAGTTTCTCGATCTATTCACAGGCGGCCACCAAAAATAAAATAATCGAAAAGCTTAAAGCAAAAAATAGCAACAAAATCGGTTGGCTACCAGTTGGGGGATAGAGTAGTGACTCGAACTCGAACTCGTTTGTTTTACATAAACTCAAATCGCCGCCAAAAAGGCCTAGCGAAAGCGCTTAACGATTGCTGTCATAAGTCGGACAGAGTGGCGCCAGCGGCGGGGGCCGATACTGGAGTATCTGCATCCGAGATCGGTAGCGAAAAAAAATTATAATAAAAAAAGAAGAGATACACAGAGAAATAAGGTGTTTAGGAGGCTAAAAATGCTTTACCAGCGGAAGCTGAATCCAAAGTTTAGAGATCTCTGAAAAGATACTTATTGTTCTCTGTGTAGTCCGCTCTTAACCAGATTGTGGATCGTTCTAATTCCACCTGTGGCATTTTGATTCGAGAACGAATAATCGAGCGATTGGAGCGATGGATCGTTCGATCGCTGTATCGATCGACCAATTGCATAAAGAACGCAAATCAGGTGAACGAAACAAGGCCCGGAAAAAAAAAATAGGGGAGAGGCGTGTGTGCTGCATGCGTGTGCTGGCTGGCATTATGCATTAGATGTGGCGATTTCTATCCCAGTCAAAGCGAGCTAAGAAAAAATTTGCATAAAATTCAATTTGGCTTTTCGCAGCAAAAGATGCCAGCACATGTATCTAGATATATACCCCTTTATTATATATACACAAATATATATATTTATATAGCTGCTCCGTAGCTCTGTACATGTATAGCAACTTGGAAAGCTGCAAAACGGCATTTTTCATTTAATAAATTGCACAAGGCAATGCAGCAGCGGCAGCAGCATCCAACAGCAGCAGCAGCAGCAAGAAAAGTGGAAAGAATGCAGATGCAATTGCCGTTTGCTGCTGAGGCTGCTGCTGCACCTACAGTGATAATTGCCACAAAAACGATATCAACAGCCATTTCCATTTATTTAAGTATTTAAATGCCATAACAAAATGGAAAAGATTATTATTGGTTTGGATGTTGTTTTTAGCTAAAGTATAAAGCATAAAAATGGAAATTGCAAATTGTTATATTATTTCTTAGTTTTATCTACTTTTTAGATTTATTTTATTTTGAGTGCTTGTTAAAGTTTCTTCTTATTAATAAATATTTTAGTTAAGTGTTCCGTAAATGTACTTATTTTCGTGCGTTGTACTTAGGCAACAGCCACTGTATGCGGGCAACAGATGCAGATACACAGCAGCAGCAGCATGCATTGCATTTGTGCAACAAGTATTTCCACTTAACAACAACGTCAACGGGAGAGGAGGGAGCAGCAGTTGTTGCTGCTGCGACTGTTGCTGCTCCCTGCTGCAACATGCAGCAGTCGAAGCCGTGATTACAATTTGATTACGCGCATGAATGCAACGCGCGGCTTTTGCCAGCAGCGGCAGAAACATTTTCTAGTTTGCTGTACGCGGCCCGAAGCGTTAAAAAATATTTTCTTTTGCACTTGCAAGCAGCAGCAGCGAGCAGCCAACACCGCGGCAACTGCCACTGCAACAGCCAGAGCAGCAAAAGTAGCAGCAGCAGCGACACTCTCTGGCCAAAGATAGGCACATGGGTACATAATGTATCTGACAGATACATAGACGAACTTTTAGTCGCTCCTCTGGCACCGCATGTTTTGCCCATTTTAGCGTCTGTTTTTCCACCAGATCTACTGCTGCCGCTGCTGCTCCAAGTTGCCACCAACTGCCATCTGAAAAAGTTGCAACAACTTCCAGGCAACGACAACGACTACGTCGACGGGATCTCTGCAACGAC